ATGTTTCCACCCACTAAAGCATATTTCTTTATGTCCCTTGTAAATCATCAGAGAGATAAGTTCAGTCAGCTTTAGAGGAGAAGACACTTGTACCTTCAAACCTTATTAAAAAAGCTCCTTCAATCATCACCACCTATTTAATTTCAGCCCCCAACAGTATGCATTCAGTACAACGCTCAGGGGCATCTCTTCGCGTGCTTGCTGACGAGCCTTGAAGCTAAATCCTTTTCTCTCTTTGCTCAGCGAGCAATTGTCGCCACTTAACATTGTACATTTGCAAAGAAACTGTAGCGGTTTTCAGTTTCAAGGCGACTCTAGTAAGGACGTGGAGGTGAGGCGACTTGTTTTCACCAGAGACTTGGTACTACTCATCCGGCATAAGACGGCAGTGCAGTTGTGTACGCGAAATGCGCGGTAACAGCTTGTGCTCTGCAGAGACGAACGTGTGAAAGTTGGTACACTAATCTGACAGTTAGTCATTGCCCTTTTGTCTGTTCTCTCGCAGGGAACATGTACATGGACTCGAGACAGAACATTTCTTCTCTGATGGGCCCACCAGGATACCCTCACATGCCTCCAATGAGCAACACGGCGCCCAGCATGACAGGTGACTCTTCCGCTGGGACGGGAGAAACTTGTTGAAGGCGTAATAATGCAGCAAAGTGTTGGCTTTTCAAGCGCGTGTAAAGACGCTCGTCTCATTAAAAAGACATTTTCTTGTTGGTTTCATGAGACGGACAAAATCGTCTCATGAAACCAACAAGAACCTCCGCCCCCCCACATCCCGAAACAACTCATATTTACTGTGCAAGCAAGCTGAATTCAAACACAAAGTTTACCATTTTAAATCCCTCAAATTGCTATTAAAACATGGGGTGGTTTATTCATGACTTCAACTAGTTTGGTTATGTTAACAAAAACAATGAAAATCACTAATTTCTCAGAAATTGATGATGTCTACACATTGTCACTCGCATTGTATTAATTGTCAAATAATTACTGACTAAAGATCACGTTGACGGTGTTTTTCCGGTACTTCTTACAAAGGTACACCTTTTCCTAAGTGTCTCTGTGTTGTTGATGTATTAGAAAGAGCTCAAGTAACCAAACAGGAAACCCCTAATATGTAATCAACTTCATCCAATCTAAATTCCCGCTGACACACAAGTCGTCCTGAGTTACTGACGTTTTTCTCCACACGCAGGTCATCACAGCCAGCTGAGCCAGCAGCAACACACTCTGCCTGCGGGGCACTTTCAGGTGAGACGCATCCTCGCTGCCGAGGACATCCAGGACGACTTTGACTGGGACTCCATTGTCTAAAGCTGAACTGTGAGTCAAAATAAGAGAAAAGAGACCCGGCGGGACAATACTGATGTGAGTTTCGTGGTGGACAACCTCCTCGGTTCACCGAAGCAAAGAAACGGACGACAATCCAGGAAGTAATGGAAAGTAATTTTCTAAAATCTTGTTGGCCTTTTTTTCTAACACAAGTGGCTGAGGGGTCCAAAAGACAATCATTATTGAAAAAAAAAAAGAAAAAAAAAATGACAGGACAGACTTTTATTGTGTGGGGCAGTGCCAAGTTGTAAACACAATGTTTAAAGAGTCACAGGTCACCAAAGTATTGTCAAATCCTCTGTGTATTTTCATTTTTCTTTTCCCTCAGATGCGTTTCCTGCAACAGCTGATGTCATGTTAAAGTTCTCGCTGATAAAAGAAATGGACAGAAAACTCTAAGCCCGCAGCAGATTGCTGCACATGAATCATATTTCTTGCAAACACAACGAGCATGTTCAGATATTTCAACTTTTTTTTCTTGGTGTAAACATTTCTTTTGCCCTTAAACCGGGCCTCTCTTTATGCTGCTGTGGATCTGAACAAAAGATGGTGCAGGAAAATGTGATTGAGTGGAGCGCCATCTACTGGTCAAAACAGGAATACTTTTCATGCGCCACATTACAATCTTCCGGGATATTTTCTCTGCCTTTTTCAGAAATGTTTGTTTCTAAAAATTTATTTTGTATAATAATCTGGTGTGCTCAGTTTTCATGCTCTCAGGGTGAAATGCTCACGCACATCTCCACTTTTGTGCCGTTTCTGAATGAAAATGTCCCTCCTCTGACCTGGCACTAACGCGTATCCCGGCTGGTTTGGTCTCAGTTTTAAGTTTTCACTCTTGCTAGTCAAATATATCATGAGATGAACCGACGTCATTTACATAGTGCTTCAGAAAAATCCAATTTTCCTTAAAAGATTTCAGTTTTTGTCTTTTTATTTTTTTATTTTTTTTTTTTAAATTGCAATTCGAATAATCAAAGCAACTTTAGTGTCAGACAGAGATAGCCAGAGTAAAAGCCAACCTGGGTATTTGTGAAAAACTTAATTGTTGCCTTTATTAAATATGAATTAACACTGTTTAACAGGATTAACTGGAAAGCTGAGTTGATTTTCACATGTAGACCAGATCAAGAAATACTTCAAGTAGAACCTGTCTAACATCATGGAGCAGGGAGTTCAGCAATATGTACACCTCTAATTAAAATTATATTGTGGCTATGATCATGCTTATAAGTTAGAAAAAAATGCATTGCCTGCATTTCTTGTATTGAAATGGTATTTATGCTATTTATTTATATGTATTTATTTATTTATTTATAGGATTCTATGAAAAACAAATACTTCACTTGTTTTCTTTTTATTCCCCCACCTAGAATTAAGTTTTTTTTTGTTTTTTAATGTGAGACTCTGGTACAGCTATACAATATAAATTTATTTTAGACCTTCTTACCCATCTTTGCCAAAAACAAACACTACAGAGGGAACTCTCATCCTACCTGACTTCAGCGTGTCCTGAGCTCGTCCACACGTCTGTTTTAGGGTCATTTGAGAGCGACCTGGTCACCCGGGACACGTGTTAGTGCCAGGTCTCAGTGGGGCCTGCGTCGGTTCGACTCTGTGCCATGTGTTTAGATCCCGTTTAGCTTCGGCTAACGGGAAATGGTCAGCTCCATATGCTAACGAGTTCATTGTTGTTGTGGAGTGAGCTTTGCGGCAGGTGAGAGAGCAGCAGCTTATCAAGTTGGGAAGCAAGTTGCAGGCCAGACTTGGACTTCCCTAAGATTTGTGCCCAGTGTTTGATGTATAATTTACCAGGCGGAGCCTCTGTATTTCTGAGGGGAGCGTGCGCAGAGTTTCTGAGCAGACTGAAGGAGTCGACTGATCATTTATGATGCCTGAATTAGGAAAAAGAAATAGCAGGTTTTGCACAACACTAAGTCTGAGAGCATCTACTTAATAAAAGAAAGATGTTTTTCTTTTTGGAGAACTAAAATGAAGAGACAACATGCTCTGGTTTGTTCATTGTGACGTTTCTTTTGTCTGTGTACAGTTCTGTATTGTCTCCGATTTTCATTAGTGTACAGCTTCATAAGGCTAAAAAAAAAAAACACTAAAAAATAAAGAAATTTCTTTGTAGTAACATTTTGAGCTCATATTTCCTTCAGCGAAATATTGAAAGTGTTATTTGTTTCAGAGGAGCTCGGTTATTAATTAGGCGGTCACAAAACAATCATTGTATGGACAACAACAAAAAAAAAACAAAAAAAAAAGGGAAATGCTCCTTATTGCCATTCAGTGCTGTGTTACAGTGACCAGCATATGTATATCTTCTCTGTTTGTATGTTTGTCGTCTTTGTAAATAACTGTGTTAATCCTCTGTTTTTGCCCTTGAAAAACAGACTGAAAAGCAAAGGAAGCTGCAAATGGAGACGGTATTTTGTTACGTGTCCTTCTGGATTTGCATCATGTACATAAATTCAGTATACTGTAAAGAAGTGATCTAAAAAAAAAAAAAAAAAAAAAAAAATGGGATTGGCAAACTGTGTGTCCAAAAATATTCAGTGTATGGCGGTTAAAATATGTTAAGTGTTTATTAAAATGTCACAAGCCATTTTTACTGCACCAATCCTGCGTCTGCTGCCGTCATTCCACCATTATTCCGTCTTTGGACTTTGAGCCAAAGGTCTGCAGAAGATTAGGGTGATGGGACGGAGGCCTTTCAACACTTTCAGTTCGTCACATTTGATTTGATAAAATAAACGGATAAATTGCTGTTTTTAGAATTAACACTCCTTTTACTCTTTTTTTTCAGATGTGTGGCACCTTTTACATCAGAAGCAACTTCTCTAGGGAATAAGAATAATTTCAAATCTAAATCTGCCTGGGATATTAATAATTTTGAGCCGAACTATAGATATGTTAAGATATACTTTTGGTGGTGAAACGAAACCTAAGGAACAACCAAGCTTGTTTATTTATTTTTTTGTAAGACGGGCTCGTCACCTTGCTTTCATCCACACTTGTAGCTTGTTCTCCAATAGGTGTCAGCCAAGTGCCGAGCAACATCTAGTCTTCGGTTGGATGTGAACTCGACAGACCACCCGTGCTTCGTTGTGTAAAAGTCACACAGTGTTGAAACTGCTCTAAAAGCTGCCTTTCATTGGGTTCAAGTCCTTAAAACCCCTGCTGCTAATCTCATCTTTTCAAGAAAAAAGAGCTACACTTTAAGCTATCAATGCAGCTGATTTATAAGTGCTTAATTTTATTACAATTTTTATTTAGGCAATTAACGAAGAATTCAGACATCAGGTAAAACTCTTGTTGCCTGAAGTTAAGTTTATATATATTTTTTTTATCATTCATTCCTAAACTTGCTTAAAAACTAACTTCAGTATGTTTTTTTTTTTTTTTTTACAGCACATTCATTCGGTTTCTGTCATGTTTTGATATCAGCTATTTATCTGTCTAAAGTGAATGTGTGCAAGCAACTGATACCGCTGCAGGCTCTGCTGGCCTGAGTTGCAGAGCCTCATTCAGGGCTGGACCGCATTAGCCACCTTACAGTCCTTACTCAGAGGAGCCTCCTCCCAGCACAACCTGCTCCCCAAACCGCCCGCCCTACCTCCGACCCAATCACCCACCTCCTCCCCGCTCAGTTTATTCACCATCTTTTCTCACTCATGCTGTGTGCCATTCCCTCCCTCTCCCGTCTTACACTTCCTCAAAGTGGCCAGAGCTCCTCTTCTGTCCTCTCCACATCCTGTCCTGTACAGATTTGTATCAATTTTGCCTAATTCTCAGGCCACTTTTTTTTTGTTTTATCCTGAACTTTTTCTTTAACTATTTTTAATTTTTTTTTATTTCTTCACCTTTTTTTTATTTATTTTTTATTTTTTCATTCCGGTGTACAACCCTGAACTGTACAAGATCTCTCTGATTTGAGTCTCCCAACGGTTTTTGGCAGGAGAAAAAGTGCTTAGAAGAATTTCCCACCACAATGAAAGTTCAGCTGCTGCTCCTCCTGGCCCTGGCCGGCCCTCTCTGCTCCTTCACACGTGCAAGTAAGTGTACTCTTTATCACAGTCCTGCCATTAGCACACTCTGTCCCCCCTGTGTGCCTCTGCCTCCATGTGCCCTGCATGCACCACTCTTTGTCTGCTTTAACCTGTGCTGATCTAACAACAACAATGAAAAACGGTGCCTTGAGATGGAAGCAAAAAGTGTTTCGATAAGAAATTAATTTGACGTGTTTTTTCATTTTTTAATATTGAAATCTTGAATTTTTTTTTAAATTATTTTTATTTCAAAATTACTGCAAAATTTTAGTCTGGTAACGATTGTCTGCAACTGGTTTTAGCCGTTTTCCTTTTCTCTCTCTCTCTCTCTCTCCCTTTCTTTTTATATTGAGCAATACCTTTCCATGACAAATATAGATGTTTTTTTGTTTGTTTTTTTTACAACCACGTCTCCTGCCTTTGTTATACTCCTGATGTGTTTTCATATTATCGTCTGCTACTGGTGCTGAGTCCAGACAACAGGAAGAGTTTGATTTTCTGCCATGAGAGGGAAAAAAATGATGTAATAGCGGGAGCTCAGCTGCCTCATGTCTGTAAACTCTTGGCACAGCTAAAGAGAAGAAAGGGAATATCCTTTGGAAGCGTCCCAAAGCACTTCTCATACGCAAGTAGGCAAGGAAGAAGGTTGGGTAGGGGGTTGAGGCAACGGGGGGGGCTGTAAATTGTAACGTACACCGTACATACTTCTCCAAAATGCCGTCCTACGCTTTCTTTCTATATGTATATATATATTTTTGCAGCTTTTCATTTCGACCCCAATCCCCTCTCTCATTCCTAAGTAGGACTATCACTCATCTCTTGATCGCCTGGGTTCATATCTTTGCCTTTAAGAAAGAAAAGTACCCATAAGAAACAGCCGGCACCAACGGTAGGGAAGGGCCGGTCTGCTTTCGGTATTAATAGAGAGAGCCTCTATATTTAAGAGGGTCATGTGGAAGGGAGAGGGAGCAGGAGACGCGCCCTATCCGTCCCTGTGTGTTGGTAAACTGTTGGACTCGCCAACCCCCTTGGCGTCTACCCATCTTTGGTTGGGGTGTCAAAGCTTTAGCTGCTTAAAATCCCCCTGTCATGCCTCACCCCCCCCTCTCCCCCCGCCTCATAACAGTTCGCCTCCTTTCTACAACCCTACCAGTCTGATGACTTTAACCCTTAACGGGGGGGGAAAAAAAAAAACATATTTCAACTTCAGAAAGTATCTTTATGTTTCAAAAAAACAAATGGAACAAAAGCATAGAAGTGGGCACATTTTCCTCCATCTAATCTTCTAACTTTACAAGGGTTAGGAATCCTGTAAAAGCTTCCTTCCATTCATTCCCCCACCCCTGTTCTCGCTGCTAATGAGTTTTGTCTGCCTTGCCTTGCTGGCCCAGTAACACCCCGATCACATCTGGCTACTCAAAAGTGGGTCAAACTTAACCTCACGCTCCTAATATGAGACCCCAGACCAGTAATGGCGAAACATAAACGTATGAGCCGCACGCATATTTTCATGTCAGCTCATGAGTCTCATTTTGAAGAAGCAAAACCGGCACAGTCATGCTTTTGAAATTTTCCACAGAGAGGAGAGAGAGAGAGAGAGAAACATCTGTTTTAGGAATAGGAGGCAGAGAGGCTGTTTTAGCGCTGACGTCCTCAGTCTGCAGCAGCCTCTCTCAGACCTGAGAGGAAATCCACAAACGGAGCTGAGAGCTGAGGCGGAGAAGTGTACAAACCTCTGTAAAGATAGCATCGTGCGCCTCGAGAACGCACGTAAATGGGAAGCCATTTGACAAAGAAATCGGTAGCTACGCGCAACCAAAAGTTAGAAAGATTAGGAGTTTAGGAGAAGAAGGTTGCAGAGGAAATTTGGGAACGGAGTTTTAGGGGTGCAGCAATCAAACCTGCAGGCCATGAGAATAATGAATAACTCGTTGTGATGCCAGTATCTGTCCCCCCCGGTGATGAAGTCCAGATGGGCCCCGCTCTGTCTCTTTGTCTGAGTTTAAAAACAAAACATCAGGCGTTTGGACACTTTTTTGTGTGCAGTTAGTGATAACATTGTCTGCGAATATTCCCCCCGGACCTCGGGTTTCAAACCTCTACATAGCACTGGGTAGCATTATCACCAGCGATATCGCCTACTGGTTTTGTGGGGGAGTTCTGCCAGATGAGCAGAGTGTCTCTCTCGGTTCCCTCCTTTAGCGTCTTGACACATTCCGCACCCCAAAGGTGGACATGGTCTCTCACTCCCCTCACATCGTCTCTCCCTCCCACACCAAGCTGTGAATTAGAACGCACAGACATGCGTAAACAGAGGCCCGCTGTGGCAGCCGATTGTGATGGCCTCGGCGGATGGAAGCTGCTACTCCCTTTGTTCTCGTCTCGCCCTGCGTGTTGTTGTGTACCTGCTTCGCACAATAACTCCCCATGAAAGAGGTTTTATTTTTGTCAGGCAGAAAGCGCGGCTCTCTGTCTTCACACAGCCTCTTATACCGTCTCCGTCTATCTGCAGCACTTGATGCATGTCAACCAAAGTCATAAACCAGGCTGGTTTGTAGTAAAAATATATATTTTTTAATACCTTTTGTCATATTTACACACAAGCTTATGTCTTTCCTCTTAATGAACTGTGGTCAGTACTGGATACGGGTTTAGATTCAGATGCATAATTTATTCCGTGTTTCTGTCAGAATATATAAAAAAGATATATCTTGAACATTGTTTTTTTTATTTGTGTGTGTGACTTTAAATCATACATTCACCACAGCACCAAGTGGAGATGAACCATTCAGAGATTTGCAGTGGATTTCTCTTGAGTTGACGCTACAAACTGGTCAATTAAAATTTCTGATCTTGTTCTTTAATATATAAGAAGGTAGGAACTGTAATTTCCCCCAACAATGGGGGGAATTATGCTAAATATTCTTTTCTAGCCAAGATCAGTTATTTAGTATTTAATGACATTTTTTCATCCTGCGTATCGGACACAATTAACATTTTTTTTTTTTTTACAAAGTTCCCATTTTAAAAATGCTTCTGGCATCATCACAGTTACCACAAAATACTGTCTGGAAATGTCAATGTTTTATGTGGATTCTAGAGAATTTAATCTTTTAAGCTTTGCTAAAGCTTAAGCTTTTGCTTAAGCTTTTTAAGTCATTTTGCTGTTGATGGACAGATATTTCGCCATTGTGGGACGATAAATGAATTTCTATTCCATTCTACTCTAACACTTCCCAATTCGGCATGTATCACAATAGACTGAGGTCAGATGTTTAAAAACATAAAACTGACCGACTGTTGTGTACTCTATTCAGCGATCCAGTTATTTACTCAAATTCTTGCCATCTTTCTCTCTGAGAGTTTTATCTTCGACAGCCATAAAACAAAATAATGTTATCTTCTTACATTTTTTGCGTTTCCCCTCACAAAAATAAAACTTTGAATCTCTTTTGTTTACCGTTGTCAGAGCAACAAGTAGATGCATCTGGTGAGTTCACTGGTCGGGGTTTTTGACGTAACAATAAGCTCACTGCTGGTCAAGGCCACTGAAACTGAAAAATCTTGAGATGACCACAACCGCAGACGATGGGGTCTTGCAGCAAACCCACCCCTTTCTTACCCGAGGAAAAGGACGTTGACGAACCATCTATTAAAACCAACTGGATACAGAATAATTACTTGTTGGTGTACAGGCTCTGTGTGTGTTTGCAGTTGTAATCCATCTTGTCTAGTCGATAAAAATGATTAGAAAAAAGAAAATGTGTCTTGGAGACTCGGCTCTAAGCTAAAAGCCAACAGCTCTGCTTCCCTGTCTCCGTCTACAGTCGAACCACTTTCCATGCATCTTCGCTGTGCACGTTCGGCCAACCGGAACCTCAGGAGTTGCTAATGCAATTCCTCTTCCAAAAAAAAAAAAAAAAAAAAACTTTTTCCCCGAAATCACAAAAACACCGAAGGCCATATGTAACCCCTTGATTGAATCATGTGGAGCCAACTGTAACCAACAGGCATGCAGGCATTCTCAAACTCTAACAAAAGGGCATCTGCTAACATTTCAGGCAGTTAGATGCTGTTTCAAGCTTGCCTGATACTGAATTGGAGGCAAGTGAGTGTGTAGATGGGTGTGGTCAGATCGATGTGATATAGGATAGAGGGTGTATATTTGGAGCCCTTTCGTAGCCTTGTCGGCCTCAAAAAGACACAACTGGTTTGCAAGCATGAATGTCAGATTGGTGGATAGTTTCTTATCGCTGAGCTGGAATCAAATCACATCTTATTAACTACCCAAAGTGTCGCACTCGCATTTTTGAGACAGCAGCGACGACGGGACCATTACAGAGATGTCTCAAACTCGGGTGCGCTCAGGAGCTGACAAAATGAACATGCCCTTTCAATGGTTAGCTCAAATGTGATGGTAGGAGTCCAAACCTTTTCTCTGGGGTTTTGCTTCCAGGCCTGGACCGGCTCTGGATTAGATGTTCAGATTCAGTATTATACCCTACATGTCCAAAAAGCCGACCGCATTCATCATGACATCATGTTTCCCCCCTGCTTCTCAATTTTGAATCACTGAATACCCGAGGAAGATCCCTCCACCCTTGCGATTTCAATCTATCCGGCCTTCCTATCTCCACCCCTACGTACAATGATTCAGTGCTTTCAAAAGTTGTTGGCCCTGACAAACTTATCCTCAGGGATCGGTTTGTTGTTCTCCTCAGGGAGTGGCATGGTCACAGAGAGAGAGAGAGATGGAGCAGATTAAAAGAGGAGATGGGGTGGGGGGACAGATTTCACCAGAGTTGCTCACTAATGCAGCTGCATTAACCCAGAAGGGTTATTTTTGTGGGGAGGAAATACTACTCCGAGCTAATTGTGGGAACTGAGCACATAATGAAACAATTGTTAGAGGAGTTTAGGGGAGGTGATTACACATAGTGTGTAGCCGTACTCTGTACTTTACTCACAGACCATTTTATCATCATTTACAGACGGTCCAAACAAACAGATTGAAGCCCCTCTACCCCCCCTGCATTCAGCGGTCGGCGGCAGCGGGAACAAATGTTTTGTTATATTTCCCCCGCCTGGTCATAATGAAGGCGGGCGAAGGCCATCCAGGGTTATTTTTGGACGTTTTGAAAGGATTCGTTATCATCTCACGTATTTAGTAGAAGTCTAATAATGTGGAAAGGGACGGACATTAATGACAGCGGCTGAGCTTAAAAAAAAAAAAGACTCTTTTTCGGCTCTCGGTAGAAATAAAGTTTTGGGGCATAAGTGGATTTCTAACCAGCAGATTTCACTTTTCCAGAAGAAAAGGAGTAGTTTGTATGCCAACTTTTTGTCAGTGGAAAGTTGATTGCAGGCTGTAATTTTGGTGCCCCGCTGAAGGCTGGCTCCTTAATTTTCAAGTGGTGCTGTTCAGGCTAAACTTTCAGTTGTGGCTGGAAGGATATAGACCTTTGGGAGATGAAGCAAGCGCTACTGGTGGGGAATGACTGCAATGAAATTAGGCTGGCTCGCAGTCGGCGCGAGGATAAATACGTGTTTATTTTCTCAAATATTTACAAGACAATCAGCAATGCAGACGTGTAGGCTCTAAAAACGCTTAATTTTAGATGCCAATTGTTCAAGAGAGGATAAAATGCAACATTTTCTTGACATGATTGACAAATTTGGGCTTTCTCGTTAATGAAAGTATCAAGAATGTGTCCTCACATTTTGATAACTGCCCAAAATGTACTCCATAGGACTTGGGAAAAACCAAATTATAAGTTCCCGCACTCTTAGATGTTGCATCAGGTCTGAAAGGGGCTTGCAGCTCAGGGTTAACAAGCCTTCCCGTGCCGTCCTGACACTGCGGCTCCTTCCACAGGAAATGAGGCAGAGGATGTGGCATTCTCCTACACAGAGAAAAGACGCAAATCTAAAGGCAGGATGGAGAGGGGAGGGGCGGGGAGGATGTACATTTTATGAGGTCACTGGCCTTGGTAACTGTGCACTAATGATGGGACAGTAGTAATGAGAAATGCTGCATAAGCCTTTGGCAGCACCCTTCCAAACAAACGGGAGAACCTCTTTGTCGAGTGTCAGTTTGATTTAACAACCTCACTCCGTGGGACCAGTCCAAAACGGGGAGAGGACAATGCATCTGCTTGCTTTAGTCGGGGTTTTGCAATCATTTGAAATTCTGATTCACTGTCTCTTTGTGATGCCATGAGGTTTCCACAACCAGATATTGTAATAAAGCGCACAGTGTCCTTTCTTTACAAGCTTGTATATCACCAAGCAGTGAGCACTTCACTGAGAGCACGCTTACGTTGGCAACAAAACTGATAACTGATTTTCAAGCCAGCATGTGGTCACAGCTGGGAGTGAAGCCTCAGGATAAAAACACAAATTTCAACCAGTTTATCTAATGCAAGATAAGAGGGGAGGAAAAAAAACAAGCATAAAACTTATTTGGGAGAGAGAAAGCCCTTTATAAAGTGGATTTGTATTCTGTGGCAAAGAAAATGTAGATTATTGGATGTTTGTTTGAAAATCAGCATAACTTATTTGAGATCTTTCATAATTGCTCCCCTCAGGTCCTACGACAGTCGCCTCATACTCCTCTTCGGCACCAGAAGAAACAAAAACAACAGTCATCACCGGTCCTTCTCCCACCGACCCACCAGTTGCCCCTCAAGATGCAACGCTCAGTACTGCCGAACCGGTGGCTACAACTGAGGCTGACATTGACGTCCCTACTACAGAATCAAATCAGATCCCTGAAACAACTACTGTGGAAGTAACCGAAGCTCCCATCGTGCACACTTTGGCCTTCGCTGAGACGTCCTCGCCTCCTCCCGAGACCACTGCAGCTCCCGCTTTCGAAACCACAGCTTCTGAAGAGACCAGTAGCCCCCTCAAAGACGAGACCGAAGCACCGATTGATCTGACCACGAGTGCAGACGAAGCTACGGGGACCGACGGTGGCGACGCAGACCTGACGGTGGAAACTGAAGGTGACTGAAGACTCAGTCCAATAGTCTGCAATTTTTCCAGAACAATAATAGTAAAAATGATGATTTGTAGATGAAAACAACAACAACAACAAAAAAAAAACAATAACCATTGTCTTCCAGAGGGCATGAGCACCGGACAAATAGTGGGAATTGTGATTGGCGCCATCGTGGCCGTGGTAATTGTCATCGCTGTGGTGATTGCAGTGTTGAGGAGGATGGGCAAATACTCGTAAGTCTATCTCCTTCTGTATATCGCCTGTCTTGCTAAATTTTACGTCAAACTCTTCAGATTTTTTTTTATTATGTTAGAATGCCAAACTTCAATGCAGGAGGAAGTACATAAAGGTGTAATAGAGAGAAAATGGTGCACAATTTTCAAAGATCCTTGAAAATAAATATCTAAAAAATGTTAGATGCATTTTCAACTAGCCCCACTGAGTTCATACTTCACAGCTGCAAGTCTTTTAGGGTCTGTCTCTTCCAGATTTTGAAATCTAGAGACAGAAAGTGTTATGTTTTTCATTTTTCAAGTGTTGTCATATTAGATGGAGAACATCTAAACATCAGTTTTGAATCTTGAAACAGATTCTAACAAAGAGAAGCACAATGCTGCTATGACAATGTTTCCCAATGAACATTTGTAGTGAAATTAAGTTAAATGCATTATGACCTTAATTAGGTGACTCCGAAGGCAGCAGGTTACACTGTTTTGATTTTTATTAGAGAAATATTCATCGTGTTGTTTCATATGAAGCCACAACAAGTTGAATGTTTGTCGTCTGAACTCGACAAAATGTGCTCAAATCTTCGTAACCTACTTTCACTGTAAGCCATGTGCAGCTCTGAGGGCATAAACTGTTGACAATACGGCGAATGTTCAAACAAAGTTGTGCTCGGAGTCATCACTTCTTGCTTTCTCTAAAAGTTGAGCCAAACCTTTAGTCATTAATTACACAGTCGCATTACATCATGTACAGTGATGTAATGGGGCTTCTTGGTCTGTGGTGATAAGTTGACATTGGATTCCCAGCACTGCAGCGTTGCAGCCATAAATGGTCTAAAGGTATTCGAACCCATTTTGAAAGCCTTTTACTTCCCTCGGAGAAATAAGCAAAATCTCTTCCAAACGACAGCGTTTCCACTGAACACGCCTTCCGTTATGAGAATATGATGGCATTGGATCGTAGTAAGTGTCTTTTTTTTGTGTGTGTGTGTTTGTCATAGGTCTACCAAGAGCAGAAAACCTGCAAAAAAAGACAGCGTTGTTGTCTCTGTAAAGTTCTCCAACTTAATGCTGATGCTTTGAACCCTCCGCCTACCCTTTTTACTCTCATTGTAACAAACATTTTCTCCCCATTAAAACACTCCTGACACTCCGGTGAAAGCTGCTCCTTTTACTGACACACAGTCCCGTGCTTCAGGACGTAAAAATTAGGCATTCATGGTGACAAGTGACTCTCTCTTGCCTCCAAATTACTCTGTTTGTTGACTCAGTGTCAGTGTACATGAGCAGTGGTCATCAGGAGGGCAGGTTTCATAATGGCAGCTTGATTTAATCCCTAGGAACAGAAGATTTGTGTTTGCCGGGACTGGAGCTGGGAGTTAGAATCAGCCATTTTTGTTTGTTATTTCAGCGACTAATGGTTCAGTTTTGTCTGATTGCTTCACTGTCATTCCAAAAACGTGATGGTAAGATATACTAAAAGAGAATAAGCAAACTAAAAGCTTATGTAACCCCTCTCGATCTGTTATTAAAATCTACTGCTAAGTTATTTTTTTCCATCCACATTTATATCAACGTGTGCCTAATAAAAGAAGCCAAATTACCACCAGCAGCGAATTAACGTCACAATAACAGAAAGCTTAAATACTCTGAGTCCAGCAGGATAATGTTCCATTTAAAAGCCCTTACTGATTCGTTTTTTTGTTTTTCTTTCTTTCCTTCTGTCCTCTGCAGCCCTTGAAGAAAAAGTCAACCAAGCAGCAGGAGCGTGGAAAGTTCTGGAAATCCTAAACTACTGAACTGTGACTTTGAGTTTGATAATTAAAACGAGCACAACGCCAGAACTAAACTAATCTAACCTGGACTTGAAATGATGCCAAACCAAGGGGTGCAGCGAGGGTCGAGTGTTTTGTTGTTGTGTGTATATACAGTGTGTACTGTAATGTGTGTGAGACAAGAGGGGGTGCACAAGTCAACATCTTCGTTTTCCCCTGCTTACCTCCCCAAAAAACAGCCCTCTCTTCCCTCGTGTTCCTGAAGTGAACACCCCCCCCCCCCAAAAAAAAAACAAAAAAAAAACAATGGGACAGCAAATTCTTTTGTTGTGTTTTTGTTGATTGAGTAAACAAACAATTTTCTGATACCAGGAAGAAGGCATTAAAGGGAAGTAGCTAAGCAAAATTACTGTTGAACTTTGAGAAATTGACGTAATGGCGAAATGTATCAAATACAAAATGGGGGATGGGAGGGTAGGAAATAGAAAATACTGTTGCAAATCCACAGGATGTATGTATAAATATTGAATTCAGTGGCGCTACATAGGATAGAGCGAGCAACTTTCTCATTCTCTTGCAGTTGCATAGGCTAGAATTTGACAATATTCAGTATACAGTATGAACAGGCAATCATAGGATGGTGTTGTACAATGCCTCAAAAATATTATGCCCCATTATAGTTTTTTTTTTTTTTTTGCACTTAAATGTTGCAATAAATGGCAGTTAGTTGCTGCTAGAAAAATTTTGTTGCAGGATTGTTTTAGTTTAGCCCTGTTGGAGGGTTGCTTTAGCATAAGCAGGCTGTCTATGGTCATTCCACTGCACATAAATTGGTTTTAAATCTAGACGTTGACAAAGCCACTCCAAAGCCTTTCTGTTTTTATTAGGCATTGAAAGGTAGACTTGCTCAAATGCTTGCATAAACCAGGCTGCTTGAGTTCAGTTACGGCCAGTCATCCAGGTTCTGAAGTAGCCAGACCACCATCCAACTTCCACCACCAAGTTTAACTTCCAGTATATCGCTTTCTTGTTTTTATTTTTCTGAATTGCTATGTGTTTTTTTTTTTTTTTTTTTTTTTGGGGGGGGGGGGATCTCAAACAGGCTCTTTTGTTTGTTTTGCTCAGCAGTGGTTTTTACTATTAAAGACCTTTTGCCCACTTTCTTTACTATTGCTGAATCATGAACTCTGACCTTAACTGAGGCAAGTGAGGTCTGCAGTGCTTTAGATGTTATTCTGTGTTCTTTTGTGCCATCCTGGATGGAGTCACTGATGCCCTCTTGGAGTACTTTTAGTAGGGAAGCCACTCCTGGAGAGGTTCGCCACTGTGCCATTTTTCTTGTTTTTTTTTTTTAGCCTACTATATGTTGTCAGGCAGGTTTTATTCAAACAATTTATTGATTCTATATCCCTGGTTGAATTCAGACCTGGATGTGGCTTGGAAAATTAAACTGTTTTCAAAAAACACACATAAGTTGTGATCTACCGGGGTTAGTGATCATGTTTTTGTGTACATAGGACTGGGATGGTTTGGATAGTTTATTTCCCCTCAATAAACACAAAAAATAATCATAAGACAACTGATTTTTGTAAATCACTCACTTTAGTTCAGTCTGCTATAATTTTTTGAAAACATCAAACATTTGAATGTGACAAAACCAGCAAGAACAGAAGAAACCTGTAATGGGGCAAATACTTTTCCACGGCACTGCAGTGAAGTCGTTCTAGAGCATTAGTTAGAACAGTTCCCCATGCGGCCAAAATGCCCGACACCTCGGGCCAATTGCACGAAGCACAGCGTGCAGACTTTGTCCCGACCATGGGCGTCCTCTTTGAGGACGAGCGCAGCCGAAACAGCAGCCCTCGTTTGCAGGAGCACCGTGACATTCTGCCCACTTTAACACTGACACATTAAAACCTGATACACATCTGTGAAATTTAGCAGAAGGGTTTCTGCCACTGTTTCTGGTATTCTCTCACTGGTGCAGAGGATTTCAAAGTTTTGAAGTGTGCTACGAGTGGGTCTTGAATGAACTTCTTCAGCTGGCTCCTGCTCTACTTCGGGTCTCCGTGCTGCCGTAGGTTGCTAGACGTGATAAAAGTATTAGCTTAACAGCGTATTCTTCTGTTTATGTCACCAGAACAGCCGTCCAGTTGTTAACTGCATATTGCACACAGGATAACATTTCATAGCTGCACTTAGCTTTAGTGCTCAGTGTTAAGCAGGCATTTCGTTTTGTTTTGTTCCAACTGTAACTGTGCTAACTGGGTGTATAAATACTCTTATCTTACCCTGCCTGCTTTTAAAACTTGTTTAATATGTGCACTGAACGAGAGGAGTAATGTTTGATGATTTAGACTTTAGACACTGCAAATGTTTGCAATGATCCATTTCTTTTGCTTTGCCATGATGTCGTCCATTTGTGCCATGTGTTTCATGCAAACCTCTTATTTAATTGCAGTGTTTTTGTTCATACAGTTTCAATAAAGCGAGAAACATTTCACAAAACACTTGCTCATTTCCCTCTATTTATATTAGAAACCGGTCATAAAAATGGACACAACTGAGCTCATTGTTGACCAGCACTGTACTTCCCCTCTTATATACTTGTGACCGTTACAGTCCCATGACACTTATTTTCTGTTTCCAACTGAAGTATACAAATGTTAACAAGTTGCCCAGGGCTCCGTCCAGCTGCCTCCTCTCCGATTGGCCAGTTCAAGCAGCGCTTCAAATTAACGAGAGGGAGCGAAAACAAAACCCTTTTCAAGCTGGCAAACAAGCAGCGCCAAATATGGAGAGCCCTACAACGTGGAATCGTCGGGTCGGTTGGTGCCTCTGACAGTTAGGTGTGCTTTTTGCGTCATGTTGTGGAGCTTTTCATACGATGCTGTTAAGCTCAGGCAAACCTCCAGCAGTAGGCTGCGAGTTGCACAGAGATGCTCTATGTCTGGCTCCCTGTCCTCCGTGTGGTTTTAGGCACCAACCCAACACCTCCCACCCCGCCCGAGCCTCTGCCCCGTTGGCGAGCTTCATAACTCCCTTTAGCTCACTCTCTGGGTGCTGACTGCCGGGAACAATGGAGGCTTTTGAGAGGGGGCAAACGGAGAGGCTACATGAGCCGTGGCTCGCTCTCTCTCTCTCTCTCTCTCTCTCTCCTCACTACTGCAAGGAGGGGCTAGCGGGGGAGATTCTGTGCGTCCTTGCAGGGTGGAGTCACTTCCTGGGTGGGCCCTTCTTCCATCATGTGTTTTCACATACACACGCACATCATACAACATGTTCCAATAAAGATTTAAATTATAAGCTTTGCTGATGAAAAAGACCCACTAAAACTTTTAAGAGTCATTCGTCGGCGAAAGGCCTGAAAGCAGCTATTACAACACACAAACGGAGGAATTTACAAAGATTCAAGCCACATGCTCTTAACTGCACAATTGTTCTAAATCATCTTTAATGATCTCTAAAAACAGGCCTACTTGTGACATAACATTAGTCAGAGAGACATTCTTACTCAACTAAAGGTGACTAAAACATACTCGGAGAGGAAGGAGGAACCCCACCCGAGGTCTTGTACACAGATGTTTAAAGATTTGCAAGATTATTTCTCTTAAGCTGGTATTGGAAGATTTATCAGATGATCGTTTCAGTTTGTGTACTGGATTACACTCAGACCCAAAGTAAGCTTTTCTAATTATCAGAAAAATTCAGTTGATGCCCATTCGGCTACAATTAATCCCAACTGTAGCATCGAAGCGCAGATTGTGAAACAATAGGAGAATAGCGTAGATGATAAGCAGGCTTTTCTTTGCAAACCTAATCTGCCGAAGCTTGAATGGGTAATGTCTCCCTTAGACTTTTCCATATCAGGCACACGGTCAGACATGTCATGAGTGATCGTAGCAATAAAGAGCTGCCACTGGATGTTTCCACCTGTGGGAAGAAGCTGGGGGAGAGTGAGGAAAGCAAGGAAAATGCAAAGAGAACATGGAAGTGCCACACTGAACTGCTGCCACCAGGGGTGTGTTCAAAACGGCAATGGGCTCATTCAGTCTACAGCTAATCTTGTCAGGAGCAGCCTGAGAGCACGCCCACAATTCAGTTCCCCTATCAAAAAATAAAACCAATGTTTGTGTCAGTTGCCAGGAGGACACAATAAGACTCGACACAATAAGACTCGACATTGTTCACAAGCAGAAGCTTTTGACATACTGTTTACCAGTAACTTGTTCTCAATCTGCTGATGAAGCTCATCCCACAGAATTGGCAGCAAGACTGTCGTGGGTTGACTCGAGCTCTGCAGTAGTAGTCCACGTTCACCAGCATGCTTGGATAACTTGCAGGAGTTTCGGTGATGACAAAAAGTGTTGCTAGCACCTTTGAGTGCCCCAGAGAGCTGAGACAGAGCAGACTTGGGAAGGGGAGAACTGGGAACCTGGCAAATTGGTGAACAAGTTTGGGTGGCGGACACAGACTGGGTGTTGTCGATGCGTGGTAAATGTTTGCAGGGATGATGAATGGGTCACCTACATTTGCTGGTGTCGGCTACAGAAAGGCAGAGTTGCAGACAGCAATGACTAAGTGAAAATGTTCTCTCAGTGTGTTCTCTGAACGTTGGATGAATCTGAGCGGGGGGGTTTTTTCGTGCTATGTCGTACAGTATCCACTTGTATTTGCATGTTCACATTTACATGTTCTTGTCTGCACATCTGGCACTTGAGACGAATGCAATAAATTTCATGTTGATGCCAGTGACATAACATCTTGTAAGATGACAGTCACGTCTTTGTCTTTGCTGGTGTGGGACATATCTTCAGTCAGAGACCCTCATTGTTTACTGCCAAAGTCTTACTCAGTGATCTTTCTGGTTTATGAGACATGTTGGGGTCCACCTCGCTGGCTTTCTCCCTTTGTCTGTCTTGTCTTACATCTTCATGTTGATGTTGAATGTTACATTGTGTGAAGAATCACTGGCACAAACCGGTGCCCATCGCCACAGGATATGCTAACTAGCATCTGACACATGTTATAGCACAATCCCCAAGCTTCTTGTCTGAGTTTAAAGGGATAGTTCTGATTTTTTTTAACTGTTTTCTGTGAAAATGTCCAAAAACACTTTATATCTCACCAAGAGTATGTTATCCTTCTTGTTTAAATATTGTATTACCATTAGCTCACTTAATTGTATGCTTGTTTTTCTGCTGTTGAAACCAGATGTTTACCTACAAAACACATAACCTCCTTTCTCACTGTTTGATATTAAATCACACT